GAATCATTCAGCAAAACATAAATACATCCTGTCTTTGCAGCCATTTATACAAGAATGTGGGATAAACACACAGCCCCTGAAGCCAAACATCAACACACTTACACAAACAACACTCACAGCTTTTTAACATACACAGTCAATTACACTGCTTCAGTTTAGTACTGTTCTTGAGATGACAAAGCTTTCTGCTTCACAAAAAATGTGTTAATAGGCATTATATAAAGCAACATCTTCATCCAGTCTTGCTTCAACCATCTTATGACTTTGCTCAAGATTGATGTCTTATAAGCTCCTCACTGAACTGTTCATTCCATTTACCTTTACAAAACATCAACATTCAAACTTTATTCTATGTCTTCCAGAAATTCCTGTATGGAAGTATTTTTATCACATTAGAACATCAGCCAGCCTATGACCACCATCTGAAAAACTACTGCTCATTTAGACAAACCAGCTCTAAAAGGTCTTTGTCTGAGGGTGCCAAGTGACCTTAAAACAAAATCCAAACTGTTTTTACTTCCCATTCACCTGCAGCTTGAAATTCTCCACTGTTCACAAAAAGATCAAACTATATTCCCACTGAGTTTGACATCACCATCCAATATCCAGCATCTGCACATGAAACAGGACATCAAGAACACATTTTTTAGTATTTTTGGACAGATTTGACTCCTACAGCACCCTAGGAACAAATAACACAATATATGGTAAAGCTACTTTCTGCACAACATTTTTAAACCCAAAACTTAAATTCTAACAAAAACACACAACAGCAGAGGTGCTATCAGAGGTACAGGTTCCATTAGATCAGGCACTTCAGAGACAGGGGCCTGCACAGCCTTTAAACAACAGCTCTCGTGCAGTTCTGCTGACTGCAAATATTTGCCTTGACTCACATGCACTTCAGAGCTGGGCCAGAAGAAAACTGGAACAAGGTTATCTACCACCCTCGTGGAGAGGGTTAGACCTCATTAAGAGACACCTCATTATGCAACCAGGCCCTGACTCCTGTTTAAGACAAAAGCAAGGAGGAGCACAGGAGGCTGGGAGGGCCCCTGCTCTCCACCTCTTTCTCCGCTCTAGGGCAAAGGAAACCTTGAAAATTATCAGCAGGGCAGGTGAAGCTCCTTCCCCTGAGCACATCAACCCCAACATCTGGGCACAGATCCCTGCCCTGTGGGGTACACAACACAAAGGATCCCAGTGCCAAGTGCAGGAAGAACAGAACGAGGCATCAGGAAACTGAGTCTTGGCCTCATAAGGAGGTCCAAGAGGACTGAACACCTCATTAATGGGCCTGGGACAGAACCACCAAAGGCATTTTCCTTCTCATCTTTTTTAGTAGCAAAGCAGCAGTCTTTTATTTTCTTGTTTTTTGCCAACTCTAAAAGAACACTGCCTGAAGGACTCTGATTATGTTTAACAATAAATTGAAATATAAAATCTCAGAGGTGTCCATGTTGGTGTGTTCAGCAGCCCTAGAAATAATTTAAAACCTCAGTAAATTCTATTAGTTTTCACTTCCACAGACAACCTGACAGAATGCTGGGCAGAACTGAAAATTCAAACGATGGCACAGAAAGGAATCCATCAGCACTTCTACAGGTCCTTTAAAATGTGCTCCAAAGAACCCCTAACAAATGACTTAGGGAAAGGTTACAGTTGACTACATAAGGTTCTTTGAGGTGCACCTACCTAGAGAAAGCCTTGGGAAAAAGCACACTACCACCTTACAGCTCCAAAGAATTGATGGTGTGACAAGAGAACAATCAGCTGGAAGTCAGAAAATCATTTCTGGTAAGTGGCAAGAATGATTTAGTGTTTTTGTCTTGGGTGGTTGGGATTAAGATTTGATTTAAAAACTCTGTATTCATTTTGGAGCAAAGGAATAACTGAAGCTCCTAATGAGAAACTACCTCGGAAGTGGATTAGACTTTAAATATTGCACTCTCAGCAATAAGTAGATCAGCACTAACTTGACTCAGGGAAGCTTTTTAACAATGGGACAGGCAGACAGCCCTGCTCTGCTGGCTGGAATGGAACCCTGCCTGCTCCATGCTCTGCCCTCCACCAGCTGAAGGGAGAGAGGAAACACCTCCCAGGAGCAAAGGGCCCCCTTGGTGGCTGGATGACCAAGCAGCAATGCTGCATCTCTCCAGTGCTCCACAGGCCTAACACTGACTCACACCTACTTACTCACAGGTTCAGTTCATTGAATGCTTCTCTTTTCCAATTCCATGTCTCAGCAGTTACAACTGGGAGAACTGCAGACTAAGTGCTAAAGAACACAGGTTAGTCAGTTCAGAAGCCCTATCAGAGTGATAGACAGGAACAATTCACATTTGAACTGAGTACTCAGGTATTTTCCTGGGAATTAGGCTGGGAGAACAACTGATGGAAAGCATTAAATCCTGAACTTGGGCTCTGAGGAGGTGTCTGCCATGGAGACAGACACAAAAGCTGCAGTATTTGTTGTCATAAAACTGTTGAGTAAAGGAGCACACCAATAATTATTCTGGACTTCCTCGGTCTCTGCTGGCACTTGTGTGTGGGAGAAGGGAAAAAAAGGTGAAGGACAGTATGAGTAGGAAACCCCTTTTAGACAAAGCTAAATTGGCCTGCCACTGAAAGAACAGGACCTGAAAATAACTCTTCCCCTCTAAACCGTAGAAATTCTATTTTCTGGGATTGCTACTAGAAAGTAACAGTTTCAAACAGTAATGTTTCTGCAGTCCTGACAAAGGGGCCTGAGGCCAGCATTCCATGAGAATTGCAATTCTGTGATTCTGGGCAGATATAGAAAATCTTTCCTTTAGAAACAAAATCCACATACAGGCTGGCTACATTTACATTCTGAACAGCCAGGACCATGTCTGTGCACACATTTGTACAGTTTTAACACCTCTTTGTTTGTTAAGTCCAGACATGGCAATTCTGCCAGCTTTCTTCAATCACCTTGGTTTTTCTTAGCACCCCCTTCAAAACAAGGGGTCAGTGGTGACCACAGGTCAGGCTGAACTTCAAAGGGCCTAAAAAAACTCATTTAAGGTATAGATACATCTCCCTTTCCAAAGATGACACCACTGAACAGCTCATGGACTCAGGAGGCCACAGCCCCAGAGTTGACAGCGATCCAGTCATTTTTCCAGCATGGAGACCTTCAAGGGACTTTGCATTTCTTTCCAAGCAGCAGTCTAATAGCGTAAAATAATAGGGCTATTACACACATATCTACTTCCTAAACTTGTTTCCAAACCTCACATGAGTGTTCTAACATGTGAACCCACCGTTTTCTTTTCCACCAAGTGCCAGGTCTGAAGGAGTTCTTTGGCTCTAAAGGGTCTTTTCTGAAAAAGCTTGCTGGAGGAACACTTGGGGAAGAAGGGGGAAGCAAGAAATGGGTAAACAAGAAGCTGAACCACAGGACAAAGCAGTAGCAGAATCCTAACAATTCCCAGGCCACCAGAGGAAAGAATCAACTTCCCCTGGGAGGCTGCGCTCAAACTCTGGGAAAAGGAAACTGTTCTCCTTGTTGATTTTGCAGGAGACCCAAACCAAAGGATGGCAGTTTGCTCACTCCTCTGCTCTTTGAGGGAGCTGTGGCTCTGCAGACTGGAATTCCACAGGTGCCCCTATCTAACAAAAAAAAAAAAAGCCAATGGATTCCCTCCACCTTGACAGAGCCCAACCAAAAGAGTTCTCTCACCCAAATGGTCTATAACGTGTTTAAGTCTGTCTGCAGCACTTTGGGGAAATCCTACAGCCTTCAGGAAGGCACCTGGGGGCAGATGATGTCACTTAGGTCACAGCCAGTGAGAAGTGTCCTTTCTCACAATTATTCAGTCTATTTACTTTCATCTATTCTCCTCGTTTGAAAGCCTTGATATTGGATTTCCTGTCATTGGAAAAAAACTTGTCCTGAAGTGAGGACAAGGGTGACAGTTGTTTTTTTAAGATTTTTTCAAATCCAGTCATTTACTTGCAGTTCTAGATTAACTATTTAATTTACCCAGGCAGCCAGAAGGCACTAGCAACAACAGAGAGAAAACCACTTGAGCATTTTCATTCCTGGGCACAGAACAAGTAGCAGCAGAAAGCAGGAAAACTGAAGGAACACAAGTCCTACAAAATGAAAGAACAGGCAGAGTCCAGATTTGGAAGTTGGAGATCCTCTGTCACTTTTCAAATGGGAACCACAACAGTCAGCAGGAGTTGCAAAACTCCCTTAGGGCCTGCTGCTGAAAGACATTCCTTAAAACTTCCCATCATCTTCAAGAAATGTCCACTTCAATCTTTCCATCTCATGTGAAGTCTTCTCTTCACCTGTTTGTATTTGGTCAAAACAGAAGATAATCCAGCAGGTTTTGTGGAGGGGGTGTCCCCACTGCTAATCCCTAGAGAATTTCAAGGGCTGGCCTTGACAAAAACTCTGAAAGTCTGTAAGTGAGAAGATATTCTCTGCAAATAAAAAGCATTTTTGACAAGCCAGCAGCAGCTCTCGAGCTCATCAGCTGAAGCAGCAAGGCAGCAATAAAGTATGATCAATGGGGCTTAATCCTCTGAAGCAGGTGGAGAAGACAGGCAAATTATCTCAGATGTTTTTTAATATTTTTAAATAAAATCTTTAACACAGCCTTAAACATTTTCAGTTATGAACTCACCAGGTAATTGGCTGAAGAACAGGATTAAGGTACAACCACTTCCATCCATCATTGATATCAATGTCAAAAATTAGATTTGATTCCTGAGCTGATAAAGTTTAATAAAAATCACCAGGACTACTTTAGAGAATTTTATGAAATTCTAAATTAAAAGCATTACTCAACAGCCTGTTCTGTAATACATGACTTTAACAGATATTTCAAGTCTCTCTCAGTTACATTACAGCAAGTATTCAGTCAACTACAATCAAAGTTAAAACAAAAAAGTGCCTGTGATCTAAGGCTCATTATTCCAGACCTGTTGTCAATCAGTGAAAAGGAGAGTAGCAAAGGACATACCTTGGAACTGCTCCCAAAACAATCAAGTTGGCTTTTTGTTTGTTGTTTCCAATTACAGCATTTTTCATATCTCTGTAAATCCAGAAAGAAAAACAAACCCTGGTAAATTACGCTGAGGTACTGAGGGCTTATCTTAGAATTTACCATTTCCATGAAGGCTTAGCAAGCAGTTTTGCACATGTCCATGCTGCACTACAGACTGAGCAGTGCTCCAGGGCACAGTGTCCTCAGCCCACAGGTAACACCCAGAGCTCTGGGATTCCAGTCCATCCCAGCTTCTGCAGGGAAGCAAAAACCCAAGCTATCTCACATGCACACCAGACACAAAGAGCTCTTATTGCTGCAGAAAACTAGATATATTTGTTCCCTGTGCCCATACAGTCACCAGACTTCCAAAATAATTTCAAAAACCCCACTACTGGTTGGGAAGTTAAATGTCGGTAATTTCAAATATTAAGTGAATATTCTACTGGATGCAGGAAAAGACAAGCTCAAAGGAGAAAAAAAAAGGAACAAGGAACTATGACCAGTCTCCAAAGACCAGACTTTCACTCTCCTCTTCACCCCAGGCTTCCTTTCACGAATTTCAGTAGGACACCTGAACATCTGCATGTCAAAATCTTGGGAACAAAGTGGAAACAAAAAGCATTTTCCTGCCTGAGAGTTCCTGCAAGGTTTAACACACGAGAGGCATCCATGCTGTGGTACAGGGACAGGAGAAGCACTTTGGAACGTGGACACTGGTTTTGTACACTAAGAATTCCTATGCAAATGTGTGGTTTGCAACCTAGTTAGGAAATGGTTACTGTATCCTAAAACCATCGTGAACATACTGAACATACATGAACGTCAGAGAACCTGAAAGCAAGCTGGCAACTTATGACCAGTTCCAGAAAATCAAGATGATACATTTCTAGGAAACTTTGTAGTTGTAGAGACCTTTAAGAGCAGAGAATAAAAAGAGACCAAATTCAGGTAATTTTTATCAACAACAAAAAATAATAAACTGGATTAGTGCAGCGTTAGTTGCAAAACCGATAAATTAATCACTGTTTAACTATGCCCATAATTCATTCGGGTAATTTGGGAGCCTTAGTGGTTGCTTTAAATCAGCATATTTTCTTGCCACTCTTTCACCTGCTACCTGCAAAGTTAAAGGGATTTAGAGCAGCCCTGCTGTGTGAGATCCACCCTGGCCAGTAGGAACACCACACAGTGCTGTGGTGCTCACTGAACACATTGCACTGCAACAACCAGCTGTCCCAAGCTTAACCCACTTCATCAGAGGTACAAAAAACTTCTTAGCCAAGGCAGCCAACATTTGCTGGCAGAACAGAACCTTTATAGACCTCCGTTAGCAAAAGGTTCTTCCTGAATTTCTCCCTGTGGCTCGTGCTCTTACCCAGCCACAGAAGAGGGCTCCAGGAATTTTAAGGCAATGGGAGGGAACCCCTGGAGGTAGGATGTGATCTCAGAGCTCCAAGCCAGGAGCCAGGAGCAGTGGTAGCAGCTGTTCTGTGCCCAGCTGAGCCCAGGTAGAGCCAGCAAAGCCCAGTGAGCCCTCAGCACACAGGGCCCTGCCAGCCCAGCCCAACTGAGCACCGGCACAGACCCCGGGCCTCGCTGCTCCATCGCCCTCAGCTCGCTGACTTCACCCCACGGGACAGGAGGGAGAGGGGAAAGAGCAAGATCAGAAGACAGGCAAAGCTGGAAGCCCCAGAAAATTTCAGAAGTGAACTTGAAGACTGCAATAAAACCAGACACAGGCCTTCAGTGGTTTCTATGCTGAACGCTTGATATCCAAATATCCCGGTCGTTTTTCAAGGTTTTTAAAATACCAGAGTCAGTCCAAAACAGTGGCAGAAACAACAATCAGGCATCTCAAAGGAATAATGGAAGCTGTCCCAACAGATGTGCTAATTCCCTGCTCAGGCCACTCCAGGACTCCCACAGAGGCCCCTCTCTGGTATCTGAGGCACCAAAGCCTCAGAAAGGCTGCACCACATCAGGGATCTGCAGAGGTACCTTGGGAGGCCAAAGAGGGGACACTAGCCCAGCACTCTGAACATTCACTGATTTGGGTGACATTTTAATGCTCTGCTCAGGAGAGCATATTTTGTGGAAAAAAAAAAAACAAAAAACCACAAAACACAAAACACCACCAGCCAATTTTTTGACTCCTGCCCCAACTCCACAAGAGAATAGCTTAACCCTAAAACCATTTCATATGTAATAGTTACTGACTATTAGAATTCAATTTAGAGACCCTTTCACAAGTGGCAGGAGTATGGCCAACTTCCATAACACTCATACTGAGAGGGTTAGGGAGGGCACAGTCCTGACCTGGAAATGATTCCGATGACTTTTTCCATCCCAGGTCACAAAGTTTCTCATTAAAGTCATGGTGGATAGACAAGAAATACCAATCACAAGCTTGAGATGTCTGACAAATCCAACACATGGACATTCAAACTTTTGCACCTGCAAGCAAGTAAAATCAATACAGTGACCAAAACCTGGCAAAGAGAAGCCCCAAAGACCCCCGTGTTTGTGGGCAACATGGCACTCCCAAGTCCCCCACCACGTTTCTCTCTTCCAATTTGCCACTTACAGAAATGAACCTACTCAATACACTGGGAGCAGGTGGACATGGAAAGCGAGAACATCCTCAAAATACCATAATCCAGTGCTGAATAGTAGCAGACCTTTTTTGTGCACTATGAAAAATAATTACGTGAGTCCATATTATATTTTATGAAGATTTTCCTGACGGGGGAGGTAATTCCTTGAGAAGTAAAGAAGTTACCACATGCTGTCTGTCATAGATTTCCAGGTCCTTGGTGAATCATGAACCTTGGAAACACTGAGGGCAACTCCCTTATTTGAAAACATCACCTCCAACGAGTTGGAGCTTGACTGATTTCAGATCCAAAATGCCATGAGATTCATCCAAGGGAAAAAAGCAGCAAAGATCACTATCTGGTACAAGAGGTAACAAAGAAACCTCAGGAATTATTGGTCCAAAACTAATATTTCCAAATGCCACTGCTCCCAACCCCTCTGTGAAAAGGAGTCCTTGGCATGAGGGAGGAGAGAACAGCAGCACAAACACAGAGAGATGGAACTTCAGAGCCCAACTAGTCTGTGGTGACTCCAGGCCTAGACTGTGATCCAGAGGGAGACAGGGGCCCTTGCCCTTGGACCTGGAACACTCCAGCACTGCTGAGCTTCTCAACTGCAGCTTGTACAGATCAAAACCTCCCCCAGGAGGGGGGGGTGCTCCTGAGATGCACTTGACGTTGGTTGGGGTTTTTTTAAATAGCCTGTGCATTAAATCTTATAGTTTATATTCAAACTAAATTGCAAGTTTTTTAACAAAATAACCTGAATTACAATCACTCTAATGCAGAGATTTAAAATCTGATAGTTGGTATCTATGCCAACATTTTCTTTAACCCAGCAATTTATATGAAAAAAAAACTTTCAAGGAGGAACAATACAGGCTGCCAACAACAAAATTCAACAGAGATCCTAGCTAAGCACTTGGGAATATTGCTTCCTGAAGTGCCCAACCAGCTTTTTCCATCTCTCTTATGGCTTCTCAAAGAAATAAGAATGTAGTTTCATCAGCTCAACTCTGTGACCACTCAGCTTTAAGTCAGAAACAAAGTGGAGACTGGAAAAGCAGCAGGACTGATTTTCTTCCCATCAACTCAAGAAAAGGGGGAACAATTACTGGGTGAGGTTTATCAGCTCTAACACAATGTTCTAGAACATTGCAGCCAGAAGCAATCAGTTCAATTAATTAGCTATAAGTAAAATGCAATGTATGCTAGTTTTTAAGTGTATTAGCACAGCATGAGCGTTTAAAGTATTTTAGGAGTACATTAAACTCACCAAAAAGTCTAATTTTCATCCAATTGCAGCCTGCCATGAGTTACAAGAGGAACTAATCTGCCAACTGTGCATGAAGTACTGTTTTTATTCTGAAGCTAAATGTGTGATGGTTTAAAGGCACCAGATATAGCTGCTTCAGATAAGCAAAAAGCAGTATTAAATATAACAATTTGTGAGTAAAATATGGCCTTTAAGTTTCAAGGATTCCTAGCCAATAAAAAATAGTATTATTAAATGGCTAAGCCCTGAGAAAATCAGCACTCCAGCCTGCCAATGGAAATTAGTATCATAGAAGCAAGTTACAGTGCTGAACTTTGTTCTAAACAGAAATCACTGAAGTTCAGCTCTAACTTTGGGACTCCTCTCACTAAATTAAAACCTGATAGAACAGCAGAGTGAGCTCAGGCCCCAGCTGGGAAAGAATAGAGCTCTCCAGCATCCCAGGGATCCACCCCTGCACCTCTGCTGCCAGGGAGACCCTGAGGGAGCAGCGTGGAGACAAGGACACCCCTGGGAGGATTTGGTTCTGCCTCTGCTTTTAAATACAGGAAATCAGGCACAAACAGAAGAAACAAAACCCTGAGAGGAAGCCCTGGAGCCTTCCTAAGTCACCTTCCAGCAAAGCAACACAACAGATCTCCAAACAAGCCAGAGTGACTTGAGGAAGCAGCCACAGGAACTCCACAGAAGAGGAGGAAACAAAGAGCCTGCAGGACATTTCCTCATCTATGGCTTCTGAAAACAGAGCAGGTGGCCACATTCAGGGGTTCCTAGACAGAGAAGGATTCCAGGCACGAGAGGAACAATCCCAGAAGGAAAAGTAGCCCTGGACACATCAGGTCAGTGCTTTCACTTTTCATATGAAACAGTTCCAGGAGATCCTGAGCTGATTACAGGGCCAGAGGAAGTTCCAGACAAAGCCCCGCCAGGAGATTTATCCACCAGGGGCTGAGCGGAGTCACCAACAATGGGATGATGCAGAGCAGGGTTCTCAAAGCCTTCAAGAACTCAAATGCAGGCAGCCAAAGAGCTGAGGGACTAGAGCTGGTACAAGGACACAGCCCAAATGAAAACCCTCTGCCCCAGCTCCAGGAGAGTCTGAGTTAAGGGTCATACAAGCAAACAGCACCTGGGCTGGCTGGACTCCAGTCAAGAGCTCTCTGTGGAGGTGAGGT